TCAAGTGAGGCCACCAGGCCAACATCCGCAGGGGCAGCCATGCTGAGGCCCGGGACCCCCTGACCCGAGGGCCACGTAGCTGGGGCGGACGTGGGTGGTGGCAGCCGTGGGCTGGGCTGATCCTCCTGGGGCCGCTGGCCTGTTCTCCGGCTGCGGCAGGTTCCAGGCAAAGGCGAGAGGTTCTCATAGGGCCTTTCGGGAGAGCCTCTGGGTACCGCCGGGTGGTCGGGGTGGAGACACAGACCAGCAAGACCAGCAGGCAGCAAATGGCAGGACCCAGAGGGCTGGGGCGTGGTGGCGGCGTGAGAAGCTCCTCAGTGGCTCCCCACACCGCGGCGTCCACGGACAAAGCAGGTGCACCTAACGCAAACAGCTTCTAAATGCCACAGACGGGGGAGCTCAGGACGCACAGATCCAGCCCCCCATGGCTGTGCGGGCCACGGGGTCAGCAGGGCTGTCCCCCGCCCCCGGCTCTGGGGAAGGGCCTCTCCTCAGCCCTTTCCGTTTCAAGAAGGCCACGGTCACGGGCCCAGCAGGCCAGGAGGTAGACAAGCCTTCCTGAGAGCTGCTGGCCAGCCCGCGGCCGCGCCACGGATGGCAGTGTCCTGTGTGGCCCGTGACATCGGCCCCGTCCTCATGCTCATGCCGACTCCCTGCTGTGGCGCACACACTCCGGGGCCAGGGTCAGGGCCCGGTGCACCTCTCCCTTGCAAACCCCACACCCTGCTCCAGCCCTGGCTCTCTGCTCCCATGTGAGGCCCATCCTGCTTCAGGGAGCACCCAGCACCCATGGGCTCCTGCCCACTCTTTTCACGCCAGAGTTTTTTTTTTTTTTTTTTTTTTTGACAGGCAGAGTGGACAGTGAGAGAGAGACAGAGAGAAAGGTCTTCCTTTGCCGTTGGTTCACCCTCCAATGGCCGCCGCGGCCGGCACGCTGCGGCCGGCACACCGCGCTGATCCGATGGCAGGAGCCAGGTGCTTATCCTGGTCTCCCATGGGGTGCAGGGCCCAAGCACTTGGGCCATCCTCCACTGCACTCCCGGGCCACAGCAGAGAGCTGGCCTGGAAGAGGGGCAACCGGGACAGAATCTGGCGCCCCGACTGGGACTAGAACCCGGTGTGCCGGCGCCGCAAGGTGGAGGATTAGCCTAGTGAGCCGCGGCGCCGGCCCCATGCCAGGGTTCTGAGCCCACTGCTCTGCCTGTGCAGGAGTGGACAGCTGGGCGGCTGAGTAAGCGGGCTGTCCAACGGGTGGATGGATGGAAGGACAGAGGCATGGATGTATGCATGGATGTGTGGCTGTGTGTGTGTGTGTGTGGCTGGCTGTGTGGGTGGGTGTGTGCGTGTGTGTCTGGGTGGATGTGTGTGTGTGTGGCTGGGGGTGGATATGTGTGTATGGTTGTGTGCGTGTATGGATGGCTGTGTGGGTGTATGGCTGTGTGTATGGATGGCTGTGTGGGTGGATGTGTGTGTGTGGGTGGGTGGATGTGTGTGTGTGTGGCTGTGTGGGTGGATGTGGCTGTGTGTGTGGCTGTGTGTATGGCTGGCTGTGTGTGTGGGTGGATGGCTGTGTGGGTGGATGTGTGTGTGTGTCTTTGTGGGTGGATGTGTGTGTGTGGGTGGCTGTGTGTGTGTGGGTGGCTGTGTGTGTGGAGGTGGCTGTGTGTGTGGCTGGCTGTGTGGGTGGATATGTGTGTGTGTGTGGCTGTGTGTATGGATGGCTGTGTGTATGGGTGGATGGCTATGTGGGTGGATGTGTGTGTATGGATGGCTCTGTGTACAGGTGGCTGTGTGTACAGGTGGGTGTGTGTACGGGTGGATGTGTGTGTGGCTGGCTGTGTGGGTGGATGTGTGTACGGATGGCTGTGTGGGTGGATGTGTGTACGGGTGGATGGCTGTGTGGGTGGATGGGTGTGTACAGGTGGGCGGCTGTGTGGGTGGATGGGTGTGTACAGGTGGACGGCTGTGTGGGTGGATGGGTGTGTGTATGGGTGGATGGCTATGTGGGTGGATGTGTGTGTACGGGTGGCTCTGTGTACAGGTGGCTGTGTGTACGGGTGTGTGTGTGTGTACAGGTGGCTGTGTGTACGGGTGGATGGCTCTGTGTACGGATGGCTGTGTGGGTGGCTGTGTGTGTGGGTGGATGTGTGTGTATGGATGGCTCTGTGTATGGATGGCTGTGTGGGTGGATGTGTGTGTGGGTGGATGTGTGTGGGGGGGTGGCTGTGTGTGTGTGTCTGTGTGGGTGGATGTGTGCGTGTGTCTGTGTGGGTGGATGTGTGTACGGGTGGCTGTGTGTATGGGTGGATGGCTGTGTGGGTGGATGGCTGTGTGGGTGGATGGGTGTGTACGGGTGGATGGCTGTGTGGGTGGATGTGTGTGTACGGGTGGCTGTGTGTACGGGTGGACGGCTGTGTGGGTGGATGGGTGTGTACGGGTGGATGGCTGTGTGGGTGGACGGCTGTGTGGGTGGATGGCTGTGTGGGTGGATGTGTGTGTACGGGTGGATGGCTGTGTGGGTGGATGGGTGTGTACGGGTGGACGGCTGTGTGGGTGGATGTGTGTGTACGGGTGGCTGTGTGTACGGGTGGACGGCTGTGTGGGTGGATGGCTGTGTGGGTGGATATGTGTGTACGGGTGGACGGCTGTGTGGGTGGGTGTGTGTGTACAGGTGACTGTGTGGGTGGATGGCTGTGTGGGTGGATGTGTGTGTACGGGTGGACGGCTGTGTGGGTGGATGGCTGTGTGGGTGGATGTGTGTGTGGGTGGATATGTGTACGGGTGGACGGCTGTGTGGGTGGGTGTGTGTGTACAGGTGGCTGTGTGTACGGGTGGATGGCTCTGTGTACTGATGGCTGTATGGGTGGATGGCTCTGTACGGATGGCTGTGTGGGTGGATGTGTGTGTATGGGTGGCTGTGTGTATGGGTGGGCGGCTGTGTGGGTGGATGGCTGTGTGGGTGGATGGGTGTGCGGGTGGATATGTGTACGGGTGGACGGCTGTGTGGGTGGGTGTGTGTGTACAGGTGACTGTGTGTACGGGTGGATGGCTCTGTGTACGGATGACTGTGTACGGGTGGCTGTGTGGGTGGATGGCTGTGTGGGTGGATGTGTGTGTACGGGTGGCTGTGTGTACAGGTGGATGGCTGTGTGTACGGGTGGACGGCTGTGTGGGTGGATGTGTGTATACAGGTGGCTGTGTGTATGGGTGGATGGCTCTGTGTATGGGTGGCTGTGTGTACGGGTGGATGGCTGTGTGTATGGGTGGATGGCTCTGTGTACGGATGGCTGTGTGGGTGGATGACTGTGTGGGTGGATGTGTGTGTACAGGTGGCTGTGTGTACAGGTGGATGGCTGTGTGTACGGGTGGCTGTGTGTACGGGTGGATGGCTGTGTGTACAGGTGGATGGCTGTGTGTACGGGTGGCTGTGTGTACAGGTGGCTGTGTGTACGGGTGGCTGTGTGTACAGGTGGATGGCTGTGTGTACGGGTGGCTGTGTGTACGGGTGGCTGTCTGTACGGGTGGGCGGCTGTGTGTACGGGTGGATGGCTGTGTGTACGGGTGGCTGTCTATACGGGTGGGCGGCTGTGTGTACAGGTGGATGGCTGTGTGTACGGGTGGCTGTGTGGATGGACAGCCGTGTGGGTGGATGGGCGGTGCATGCAGGGTGGTGGAGCTGCTGGACCCACTGAGAACTTACTTGCATCGACAGGGAAGACAGAGGGCCTGAGGCAGACGTTCTGGAACATTTCTGCCGAGGCTGTCCAAGCCGAGCAGGGCAGGAGCAGGGGCAGCGCTAAGCTGAGTGATGAGACAGGGCTGCCCCAGGAGAGGAGGGAGGGGCTGGCTGTGCCCAGGGCAGGGGGAGGTATGGGGTCTCGGAAGCTGGTGCCAGCAGGGGTGAGGGCGGCAAGGCAGGAGCCTGGGGTGCGGGGGCAGCTGTGGTGTTGGGGCCACCTGGGGCCAGCAGGAGGAAGGCCCTGCACCGGCTGTGGGCAAGAGGGGAGCCCCTGACCCTGGCTCCACGGGGCCCCGGGTGGCAGGGCTTGGGGCTGCAGGGGCCTGGACCCCGGAAGCAGCTCCAAGGGGCCGTGTGGGTCCTGCTCCCTCTGCACACCGCGACTCCCTGGTGTAGACCCAGCACCGTGCTGTCCTCAGCTCCATCCAGTCAGTGGCTGCCCCACAAAGGACGCAGTGACCCCCATATCCGATTTGTTCTTTCCCAACCCCAGCCCTCCTGCCTCCTTCAGGCAGACCCCCAGCTGCCCCCTCGTCCTTCCCCAGGCTTGGGGCTGCCCTACCGATGTGACAGAGAAGCCCGAGGGTGGGGCCTGGCCCGGACCCCCAGGCCAGCGCCCAGCACTGGAGAAACCTGCAGGCGCAGTGAGCTAGTGAGTGAGGGGCCCGGGAGCTGGCAGACACCCGCCTGGCCGGGCTGGCCTTCTTCCAAGTGCTACGTGGCCCCCAAGTTCGGTCCATGGCGCCCCTGCCTCCCCGAGCCCCACCCTGAGCCCTTCTCCCATAATGGGGGGAGCACACGCAAACCTGCTGGGACGGTGAGGCTGCTCAATGGGCCTGGGGTGGAGGATGGGGGAAGGGGCCAGCCTCACCCTCCTGCCCAGTTCGGGGACCCCCAAGGTCAGAAGGAAAGCTGCTGGCAGGAGGGTGCAGAGCTAAGAGTGAGGGAAGGGGGTACCAGGGCTTTCTCCAATGCCGCCTTTCCCAGCGGTGGGGGTGGGGTCTGTGTGTGCAGAGCACTGGCCCAGGCATGGCGAGCCCTGAGCCCCCAACTCCAGCCAGGGTTCACAAGCTTCTAGGGATATTCCATGGGCTTAGATGTTTCTTTGGAAAAGCACCCCCAGGGCCCACCGCAACCCATCTTTGAGGACCTGATGCCCCAAACCGTCCCAGATCCCCCAGCTCTAAGACCACCCCACCCCACCCCACGCCCCCTACCCCTCAACCCAGCACCCAAGTGAAAAAGCGGAGGACCCAGAAAATCATTTTAAATGCTTTATTAGGATTGCGAGCGTCATAGGTTAAAGACAAAACCCAAGCACTGGATTTTGCCAGAAATATCAGCGTTAAAGGGGCCGGGCTGAGGCCAACACAGGCCGCGGAGGTGGGCCGTCGCGGCTCAGGTGACACAGGGTGTTGGGCGCGTGGGGGGTCTTCAGGCGATGGCAAAGGGAAGGACCCCAGAGGGGGGTCTGCTGAAGACACTGTTGGGGGGGGGACGCGGGGAGGAGACAAGATGGAGGGCCGTGACTAGGCACGGGAGGTCAGGCATGTGGCCCGGGTCGGGTGGCAGGCGACCCAGGGGAGAGCTGCAAACTTGGGAACACAAAGGATGCTTGGTGAGAGCCCCCCGGGGCACCCCACCCCATCGAGGCGAAAGGTAGCACTGGGGTGGGGGTCCGGCCGAGCGGGCGGGCAATTTCGGGCGCCTCGAAGTCTTTTGGATCTTGGGCCAATGCGGGTTCTCCAATCACGACCATTTTGCTCTTTGGGCTGAAGGCCAATGTTCCGAATGGCCCGCTCTCTGGACACTCGCTCAGAACTCCCTCTGTGCTGCGTGGCCGGCTCTGACCGCCCCCAGGGTCGAGCCAGGCCTCTCGCTGGGACCCCGAAGTCGCGGGTCTCTAGACTGCTAGTCGGACTGCCCTGCAGGGGGGCCGCACTGGAGGCAAACAGGTGGGGGTGAGGTAAACCTCCAGCCGCCAGAGTCCCTGCCGCAGGCCTAGGCGCCGTGGTGGTGGCTGTGACGGCATTGCCAGACCCGTGGGCCCCGAGGCCCGAGCGAGCCGCGTCGGTGGACGGACTGGGGCAGCTCTCCTGCTCTGCGGGCCCAGCCCTCCTGACCACCCCTGCTCCCGACCTCACCCCGCCCGAACCCCAGGACGCCTTGCAGAGCTGTGGGCACCCTGGGGACGAGACGGGGCACTGAGGGGTGGGCGAGCTGTCACCGAGGGAGAGGGAGAGGGCCCCCCAGGTGCTCAGAAGGCGGCCACCTGCTCCCGCCGGATGGAACCTGCAGCCAACACTCCTTCCCCTTCCCCCCCGCTGGCCTCGCCAGCGGGGGCCCCATCGTGGTGACCTCCGAGCACCCTCCTAGCCCCCTGGGGGACCCCGCCACACTCCCTCCCCAGCCCCTCAGGAACCCCGGGGACCAGCCACAATCCCCGGAGCCCAGGCCGGGTAGCGGCCATCTCCTCCCCATAACTTCTCCGGGGGGGGCCGCGGCCAGCACCCCCCGGGGGCTCCACTCCCAACCCAACCCAAAGCGACAGGGACAGATCAATACAAAAGTCTAATTGGGGACGATAAATGGCGGGGAGCAGGACGCGGTGGTGTGGCCGACGCTTGTTGCTTGTGTTCCTCTCGCTTTTGTCACTGCTCCCCTGTTACGGGGGAAGGGGTTAATTTGATGTTCGAGCGCAAAAAAGCTAAGGAGGAATCGAAAAAAAAAAAAAAAAAAAAAAAAAGGAAAACACTGCCCCAAGCAATAAAAGGGGGGAAATAGATCAATTGGCGTAGAATTTGGATCCCTGATTTCTCTGATTCTGCAGGCTTCCGCTCTCTCTCGACTGGTCCGACCGAAAACTCCCCGGGGCCACTCTCGACCCAAGCTCCCCCCACCCAGCCCCCACTGCCCCCCACCCACCCCTCCAATCCTCCAGACTTCCCACACTCCCCACCGTCCTGCCAGTTGCCCGGTGGGGGCCCCCAATTCTGAGGGTCCCCCCACCGGGAGACTGGGAGGACGGTCCCTCGGTGTGCCCGGGTCGGGGGATGGCCCCCGAGATCTTCCTCCCAGGAGCACACTTCGAGGTCAGGCTACTCGGCAGGCAGGTGGTACTCGCCTTTCAACTCATTTCCTCGCCCCGGCTGGCCAGCTAGGCCCTCGCTCGGGGGCTGTGGGGCTGGGGTGGGCTCTGCAGGTGACTGGGCAGCCCGAGCCTGGGACACACCCCCTGCAGGTGCATCCCAGGGAGATGGTTCACCCCACAGCTCTGGCCCCAGGCACAGTCCCTCCTCCAAGAGGTGGAGAGGACGTGGTCGGGGGAAGGCAGGGCAAAGACAGGCCCAGCGGACAGCGGAATGGGGACCGGGGCGGGGGGGGACCTCAGACCACGAAACGGCTCCGAGCACCAGACGGACGCACCCAGGCCTGATCTACGGCTGCTCGCTGGAATCGCATGGGGTGTGTGTGAGTGTGAGTGAGTGTGAGGTGCGTGTGTGTGAGATGTGTGCACGCGTGTGTGGGAGCGCGTGCGTGTGCACGGGTACCTGTGTGGAGATGCGGATCTGAGAGCCTGGGCGCGGGCGTCTGAGCCGATGGTTTGCGTGGACGCCGGTTTTCGTGCGTGTCCCCCTCCGTGGGTCTCACTGGGTCCCTGCAGCTCCAGCTCCGTGGAGATCTCTCAAGGTGGCAAACTGGGCAGAGGACGAGTTGGGGCGGCTGCCAAGATGGGACGGCCAGCGGGTGCTGGCGGTGCGAGGAGGGAGACAGCGCGGCGGGGCCGCGCCTGCTGCTGAGCTTCTGGGTCCCCCCGTTTTCTCTTCTGGGTTCAGGGACCCAAGTCCAGGCCAATCAGACTCAAGACCCAGAGGGAAAGAGAAATTTGTGGGGGGGGGGCGTGCCGAATTGTTATTTTGCCAATTGCTTTTATGCCAATTTACTTTTAGTGTTTACTCAGCCAATTGATTTTTTTTTCAATTTAAGGAAAAAGTTAATTAGCTTTTCGGGGTGTTTTCTAAGAAGCCAATCAGTTTTGAGGGGGCTGTTGCGTGGATGCGAGTAATTTAGGGGCTGATTGTTTTTGCTCTTTCTGATTCATGCCAGTAATTTTGGGGTCACCTGGGGGTGCACGCGTGTGGAAGGCGTGCTGGCGGCGAGGCCCGATGGTGGGGGCGCACAGGGAGTAGCCTGATGGGGGAGGCGGGGCATGGGGCCTAGGGGGAGGAACCCGAGGCGAGAGCAGGTCAGAGAGAAGTCGGCAGGGACGGATGGCGGCGTCCGAGGGCCAGGAGGAGGTCACAGGTGATGGTACCGGCTGCAGAATCATCACAATTTGGCTCACTTCTGATTGCTGGAGGCCTCGGGAGAGGCAGCCCCGTGGGCAGCATCGCCTTCTGGCTGCAGGAACTGGGGCTGGTGATGCTTGGCTTCCCTGGAGACTTCGAGCTCCTTGGCCAGCAGGCGACCGCGGTGGGCAGGCAGGAGGGCAGGCAAACCTCTGCGCAGGCGCTGAGCCGACCGCTTCCCGGTGTCAAGCTGAAATAACTTGCCCACGGAGTAATCGGGGAGGCTGTCCTGCAGGGGGGAGGGGTGGTCACCAGGAGCCCCGGCCGCACGCCCCCACGCCCCCCGGCCTCGTCCCCGGCGTCCCCGGGCCTCACCGGAAGCACGGTCGTCAGAGAGTTGGACACGTCCCTCTCGGACTTGGCGGGGGTGGCACAGTAGGTCTCGAGGAGGGCCAGGTCGCAGCTGCGGAAGCAGCATTCCTCCACAATGCCACGGCTGCGGCGGTTCACACGGCTCGCCGGCCTGCCTGGAAGTCCCACAGGGCGGAGACAGAGCCAGCTTCAGCACCGGGCGCCCGCCCCGCCCCGCCCCGCCCCCCACCCGGGAAGGCCCCCGGCCAGGTCACCCTGCAGAGGCGAGGGAGAAGTGAGAACTCCAGAAAGGAGATGGACAGAGGAGGGGGGAGAGGGGCCAGCCCCGGTCTCTGGTGCCTCCTGGCCCCCAGCCTGAAAGCAGGCGCTCGCCCTGGGGTGCCACAGCAGGCGGTGGGAAGAAAGCGTGGCAGGGGGTGGGGGCTGAGTTGGGCCCAGCACGGGGACAGCAGGGTGGACTCGGCACTCTGACCCAGCACGACCTGGGAGCCCAGAGGGGCCCCACGCGTCCTGCAGCCAGGGAGGACAGAGAGGACAGGGCAGGAGAAGACAAGACGGGAGGGGAGGAGTGAGGAGACCATGAAGCCACTCTCTTCTCTTCTCCCGTCTTCCCCCTCTCCCCCACGGCACTGCACGCTCGCTCGGGTCCCAGGCTCCGCTGGAGGACAGTCGAGGTGGCTTCGCCAGGGGCAGGCGTGGGGGGGGGGGCGGGAGAGGGCGCCCCGTCACGGGGTCCCGGCCGGCCGTGGGGAGGCCCGTGCAGGGCAGCTGCTCCCTGGTCTAGGGGCCTGCAGAGCCACGTCTGGTCCCCAGAGGAGGCAGGCGAGAGGGAGGCGGGGGGAGAGGCAGGACAGGCAGGACAGCGTCCAGCGGCAGGAGCACTTTTCAGAGAGAGGCCCTGAAACGCGTTCACAGCCCGTGAGCACATTTCCCGGGCGGGCGGACAGGTAGGAGCTGCAGAGGAAGAGGCCACACGGCCAGAGCCAGGGGGCGGCGCCAGCCCCCACCGCACCCCACCCCGGGCTGGTCCCCAGGCCCCGAGGTCAAGAGGGAAGCGAGAATGACAGTCAAGGCAACCCCCGCCGCACCTCCCCCCTCACCGCCCACCAAAAAAAAACCAATCGGATCCCCCACCCAGGGCACACGCGCCTTGTCAAAACAAGGCGGGCCCCACCCCCACCCCTGCGTCTGGGGGGCACCCTCCCCCGCCCCCGCCCCCCCTGCGGGCCCCTCTGCGGGGGAGGCTGAGGAGGTGAGAGCCCGCAGCAGGTGTTCCGCAAGCCCAGGGCCCAGCCTCAGAGCTCGGGCGGGAGCGTCCACCCCCACCCGCCCGGGGGCCCCTGCCAGCTACTCACTGAAGTAGAAGCCGCGGTCCCCACACACAAACTGGAGGGTGTCCACCAGCTCCCCGCCACACAGGGTCTCACTGGGGCGGTAAGCAGCAATGCAGCACAAGGCAAAGGCCAAGAAAGTGAGGAGCACCGGCATCGACTTCCCCATGGGCAGCCCCATTGGTACCTGCTGGAAGGTGGAAGGAGCCGGGTGAGCCGGGCGCCTGGAGAGCGAGAGGGCCCCTGCCTTCGGTGGTGGGGGTCAGCCACACCCACGCCACAGGGGCCAGTGCTGCACCTGGCCTGTCCTATGACATCACGGGGGTGGGGTGTCACCACTGGCAGGCACTGGCCAAGATGGCAGAGAGCCCCACCCCACCACGGAGTACCAGCATCCATGAGGACCAGTGCCCTTACCCTCCCCCAGCTGAGCAGGGGGCTCCAGGAGGACCACCAACACACACAGCCACGGGCAGGTCCTGCTGGGCCAACACCTCCTCCCCCCTGCCTCCCTCCCTGCCCCCACCGCGTTTTTTCCTTCTCTTTTACTGGACCCAAAGCTCTGACGGAGGTCCCCAGTGGCGAACACGGCAGCCCCACACAACGGCCCAGGCACCCCCAACACACACCAGAAACCAGAAGCACACCCGCCGGAGCCAGGGACCCTCAGAGTGCCTCCGTGACCACCGCCCACCTGCCCGCCCCGGCACCGCCGGCCAAGGGAGCACTGGACCCCAGGACACACCCCCTCCAGACACCGCATGGCTGCAGCGCCTGCTATGGCAAGGGTTAACCCTGGCTGCCTCGGGACTGGAGGCTGGGGACAGCACAGCCAGCGGCCCAAGGTGCAGCCAGCCCAGGAGGCAGGCGATGCCATCGATCATGTGACGGGCACGAAAGAAACACGGTGGCACCAAGCTCTCCGCAGGGCAGCGGGTAGCGAAGGCACACCTCGATGCTTCTCCTCCCCGGCCACCGCCCCACCGCCCCCGGCCACGCTGTCGCCAGTCCCGGGGGGCAGCTCGGTCCCACTGCCCCGGCCGTCCCTTCCACCAGCCAAAGCACTCTGCAGCCGGAGCCGGCGCCCAGGCCACCAGCAGGCAGCGGCACGGGGACTGGACAGGAGGCACGCTGAGCTGCGGAACAGGTAAGGCCCCCACCCCCACCCCAACAAAGCCCCCGGAGGCTGAACGAGGAGGGAAGCAGAGGGCCAGCAGGTGAGGGAGGCAGGGGACCAGGTGGGAGGGCAGAGGCAGGGCAGGGCAGAGGATGAGGCGCAGAGAGAGGCGCAGGCCGGGCTGCCGGGGCTGGAGGCCCAAGCCCGCCGGTCTTCTGCAGGGGCAGCCCGGCAGGCTGGAGCCCGGTGGCAGCAGGGGTCCTGGCTTGGTAGGCAGCCCGGGTTACCTGCAGCTGGACAGAAGGCTGACTGGCCGGAGAAGGAGCAGAGGAGGAGGCTGGAAGTCTCTCTCCGGGGAGAAGCCAGTGTCCAGCTTGCAAGCGGGTCAGTGCCTCGGCTTTTATGTCTGAGTCGGCTCCTCCCAGCCCGGGCTCCACCCTACCCCCCACCCCTCTCGCCGCTGACCACTCCCCCTGCCCCCTTTGCTCCCGCCCCCTCCCTCCCCGCAGCCAGTTTCTTTTCGCGCGTGCCCCGACCGCCAGCCCAGACCACCCCTCGGGGAAGTACAGTCTGTGGGGGTGGGGGGCACTCCTCCTGCCCCCCCAGCCCATCTCTGCACAAGGCAATGCGGGGGGGGGCATCTTTCCACCCCCCTTGTGTGGAAACTTCCATGCGAGGGCAGGGGCCGCGGCCACCCCTCTGAGCGCTTCTGAACCTCGGACCGGCCCCTCTCCCCAGATCCCAGGCTGGAATGTTGGGGACTGAGCACGGGGGTGTGCGCCGGGGGCGGGGGCTCTATCACGGCCCCGCCCACCCAGCCGCCCTCTCCGGGTCTCGCTGGCACCGCGTCCACATACCAAGGTGGGCGGGCTTCGCGACTCTGCGCCCCCTCCCCATCACGCAGCACCCCGGGGTGGGGGTGGGGGGACGGGACGCGCCCGGCCCGGCTCGCGCCTTTGCAGCCACATCCCGCGCGCACACACACACGCACACAGACACACACACACACACACACACACACACACGACACACACACACAGACACGGGCGCGCGCGCTCGCCGACCAGGAAGTCGCCCGTGCGCGCTCCCCCAGGCCCGCACCCGCCCCAGCGCGGCGCCCGCTTACCTGGAAGCCGAGGACGCTGCCGCCCACCTTCCTGCTGCGTGTGGCAGACCGAGCAGCGGGCGTGGGCCCTCCTGCCGGGCACTCCTCTGCCAGCGCCGCTCGGGCCGCGCCGCCGGGGCCGAATGCGCGGCGGGGCCTGGCGGGGGGATGGCTCCGCGGGGGGCGGGACTGCGCGTGTCGTCGGGGGAGGACGGGCCGTCTTCGGGCTGGGGCGGGCCAGATGTCGCACTTTTCGGGGGGGAAAGGGCGTCGGGAACTGAGGTCAGCTGTTGTACTCAGGACAGGGGGGGACAGAGACAGAGAGAGAGACAGGGTGAACGAGAGCTGGGGGGGGCCGAAGAGAGGGCAGAGAGGGAGATGGGACAGCGAGAGGCGGGCAGGCGGACAGCGGGACGAGGACAGCGACGAGAGAAACAGAACAGAAAAGCCTCCCACGTGGGCAGGCGCCGGTGGGGGGGCGGGCTGGAGAGGGGGGCGGGCGTCGAGGCTCGGGTGCGGGGTGGGGGCGGGAGGGAGCGCAGGAGAGGCAGCGGGCGAAGTCGGGGGGCCCGGGGCGAGAGGCAGAGGAGGGGAGGGGTGCAAAGAGAAGCAGAGGAAAGGGCGCCACGTCGGGGGTCCGGGGGCGGTGCGACGGGGGGGCGGAGTAGAGAAGGTTCCCGGGGCGCGCGGGCACCCAGCTCGGTGTGGGCCGACGGAGCCCTCGGCCGTCGTGAGCCCGGGCCTCACAGGGGAAGGCGGCGGTGGCGGCGCCGGGGCCGCTCGGGGCGCAGCGTGGACGGAGAGCGGCCCGCGGGCTGCACGCCGGGGGAGGGCAGGGAGGGGCAGCGCGGGGAGATGACAACGCCGGCGGCCTGCGTGCCGGACTGCCTGCGGGGGGGGCCGCCGCCTGCGGCGAAGCGGGACGGGCGTTGAGGTAGATGGACGCGGCGGCGGCTGGGGGTCCGCAGGCCCGGCGGAGCGCGGCCCCGCCGACGGCGCCCGAGGCGGGAGTCAGCAGCAAGTCGGCGGACGGCGTCGACGCGGGGCCGCCAGCCCGGATGGAGGCGCTGGCGGGCCGAGCGCGGGCGGGCGTGGGCCAGGAGGCGGGGGCGGCCGGAAGGGGGGGGCCGGGGGCCGGCCTGGCCTCACGCAGCTCCGCCGGAGAGCAGGCGAACTGGGGGCGCCAACACCCGGCTCTTATAGCCCGCCGCCCCGCGGCTCGGCGCCCGCTCGGGCCCCGCTGGCCGCGCGCCCGCGCCAATGGGCGCCCGCGGGGCCCTCGCCCCGCCCCTGGACCGCCCCCGCAACTCGAGCCAACGCGGGGAACGCGGGCTGGGGGGCCCCCGGAGCCCCCGGGGGCGACGGTGGGGGAGGGGAGGGACGCCCGCGGGGTATGCGGGGACCAGGCCCTGGGTGGTGGGGAGGGGGCGGGGAGGCGCCGAATGCGGGCGAAATCGCTAGACTCCTTTTCAGAGAATTCGGGGGGCCCGTGCCGGGTTTCCGGGGTGCGACAGTGCCTTGCGCTGGCTGGCACCCCGGGCCCTCGCCCTGGCCTTGGCGGCGGCGGGGGTCTCAGACAGCGGGCGCGCCCTAGGGGCCCTCGGAAGCAGGTGACTCGGCGCCCAGCCGGGGGTCCCCGCGGGGGACTTCAGGGGCGGGGAGGTGCCTGCCAGAGCGCGCGGCCACCACCTGCCCGGGCGGGCGGAGCGGTCCGCGCAGCGTCCAGAGCGGCAGCCGGATCCCGAGCGCCCCCAGGTGCCGCGCGGGAGCTCGGAGCCCCGGCAGCGGCCGCCAGGTGCGGGGCGCCGGGGAAGCCGCCCAGCCGCGCGGAAAATCCGGGTCAGACCCGGGGGCCCCGAGAAACGTGGCAGGAGTCCTACCTGCACGGCCGAGCTCTGCGGCGTGCGTCTGAGCGACTCGCCCTCGGGGCCCACCCAGAGCAGCCGGATAATGGCCCCCGCGTTCTCGGTGCCATGGACTTGCGCCGCCGTGGGCTCAGCCCCGGGGGGCTACCACGATAATTTGGGGGTCTAGGGGAACCATGGCTCCTGGCGAGTGTGGACCGCATTAGGCTGCGCCGCCGAGATCCTCAGGTCAAAGGCACTCTCCAACCCCGCGACCTCTCCCGCCCCCCGCAGCCCCTGCGGCGCGCGCCCTGCAGAGGGAAGGGGCCGCCGGCGGCGGAAACCCGCGCCCCGCTCGCGCCCTCGCTCCACCATCAATCACTGGGCCCGCGCTCGGCGCGCGCCTCTCCACATCCCCAGCCCGGCAGGCTGCAGGCGCCGTGCCTCCGGGGCGAGGAGCGCCTCGGGCCCCGCGGCGGGGACTCCGGGCTGCCTTCCCCACTCCCGGAGTCCTTGCCAAAGGGCCAACGAGAGTGGCGCGGGTTTCGGGGCGGGCCGCTTGCGGGAGCGCGGTCGCCGCCGAGCGACCGGCCCGCAGCCGATCCCCGCGCCCCGCGTGGGCCTCCACAGTGGCCGCCCGCTTAGGGACCGCGGCGGGCGCGGGTCGGGGCCGCGGAGGCGGCGGGGAGCTCACCGTGCGAGGGGCTGCGGGCTGCCGGAGGAGCCGGGGCCGAGGACGGGTGAGCGCTGTGTGGCGGGCGGTGGACGCGGCTGAAGGTGAGCAGGACCCCGGGGGCAGTCCCCAGTGTCCGCGGGCAACGCCCAGTCCGCTGGAAGTCCCGGGGACAATGCCCAAATTTGGGGGGAATTGGGGGCAAGGCCCAGTTGTGTTACCGCACGCGGGGAACGCACTGGCCCCGCGCTCGCTGTCGCCCCGACTGGGCTTGGGGAGCACGAGGGAAAAAAATCCCCAAGTCCCAGCCGCCGCGGGGGCTTCGAAGGAGATGCGGAGTGGCCCCGCGGCCAGTGCGCGCCGCGCGCCGGGAACAATGCCCACGTTTCAGGGTCGCGGTTCCCGACCCTGCGTGATTTGCGGGACAGCGAGCGGGTGTCCCGAATAGGGGGGCCGGCAGGGACTCGGCTTACTGTGGGAACCGGGATCAGTTACAAAATTCGACCCTCCTGGGCGGCCACGTTGAGGGAGGAAGCCAGCGGCTCCAGGCTGCCTCCGCCCGCCCGCCCGCCGGGGACACTGGGATCCGAGTCTGCAGTGCGACCCCCTCCCCGCTGCCCCCGCCCGGGGGCATCGTGATCAGCAAGGCCGCTGGGCTTGGGGGGGCACCTAGGAAACCCCAGGCCGACGCGGGGGTGGGGGTGGGCTTTTTGGTTGAACCAAAGGAAAATTCTCCACCTGAAGGTAGGCGCACGTTGCCGAGCAGGCAAAGCCTGGGACAGGACAAACAACGCCACACTTTGGGGACCCCAGCGCCTTCCTGCGGGGAAGTGGGGGTCACGACTTGCATGGGTGTTAGGAAGCCCAGCTGTGTGTTTCACAAGGGGTCTAAATTCTGGGGGACACAGGCTGGGACCCGGACAGAAAACCAGCGTCCTTCAGCATTTCAGTTCTCAGAAAGACTTCAGTTAGTTTATTTTTCTTGAGAAAGGAAAAGTCCGATCTGGCCCCCCTGGGCAGCCTCTGCACTTGGGGGCCCTGGGGGAACACACCCTACGCTTGGGGGCTGTGCGAAATCGCTGGTGCCTGCGTCTTGTGGAAACTGGTTAGCAGCTGGGGCGTTTGTGGGACCCAGGTCTTTAGTGCCTGGGACCCAGCAAGATTTTCCAGTGTGCCTTGGGGCCCACGCAACCTTGCCTCAGTTTCAGGGGATTTGGGTGGGGGTCATACAGACAGGAGACTTATAAATCAGTGCTCAATAAAAGCTCAATTGTTTTGTGAGAAAAAAAAATCTCAATTTCTTTTTGAGGGCTGGGACTGGGAGTCCCCAGGAAAATGTTAAGTTTCCGGGGGTGGTGAACGGTTTTAGGTTCTAGGGCCTGGAGTTCGAATGTCCACGGAGTTGTGTGCAGCGTGCCTGTGAGAAGCGTTCCTGGAGCCCGGTGTCGGTGTGGGTGAGTGACAGGGACCCCGCACCTCTCTGCCCCTAGGGCTACGCCAGTGACCTGGTCCCGAGCCCTCAGCACGGACACACAGGAGGGATTCCCTTCCGAGTTTTCGGAAGCCCAGGTTCTCATCCGGGAGACAGTGGAGCTGGGGGCATTTTTATAGATTCAAAATGTCCTGCTGTGGGGCCTCAGACCCTGACCCCGGAGCCTGATTCGAGAAGGTGGCTCTGTCCACTTGTGCACCACGCGCCCCCGAGCACGTGGAGACCGTGTGGGATCTGGGGACAGCCTGGGAACCCTGGGTCACCGGCGCTTAAAGTGCAACTGCCCGGTGCTCCGGCCGCCGGGAACACAAGGTGCATTTTAAAGAGGCTGCGAGCGGCAGGGAAGCTTCTAGAACCCTGGGTGGGAATGACTGTGGTGACCCCCGGCGGGGAGGGCAGGGGGAGCGCTCCCTGAGTCTTGGGGACCGTGGGGGACATTGTCCTCTGTGTGCTCACAGTTCAGAAAGGGGCTGCACAGGCTGCACGGATACCTGCGTGGAGCAGGGTCCCGGGAAGCCTGCTCGGTGGGTTCTCCGACCTGGAGCCCAGAGTGTGACAGAGCACCCGGCTGGCACGGGGAGATGTGTGGACAGTGCCCCAAGCTGTGGTGCGCCTGGGGAGCAGGGCCCAGAGGGTCAGAATGGGCCTTGGTGAGCCCAAGATATCCTGGAGTTACGACCCAGAATTTGGGGGGACAATCCCCAAATGCCAGAGAAGCCCTCAGCGAGATTTGAGGAGTTAGCCGAACTGGCCGGCTAAGGGTTGTTGTTTAAGTCTTAGCGGGGTTGGGAGTCGGCTGCACCGTGGGAGCTGGGGCCCAGCAAAAACCAGCCGCAGGGTTTAAATCCGGGGGGTTTCTTGGGGCAGGGGGAGGGAGCCGGGTGCGTGTGTGTTTTAAGTGTGTAGAAATAAATGCCCAAAACATTTTGGGGACCTGTAAAAACACTCAATGTGTGTGGGCGACCTGGAAACAAGGCTCACCATTACCCCGGAAAAAAAAATACGGATACATGTACGTGTCTGTGTTTGGAGCTGGAGGGGGCCCGAAGATGCCGCGCTACCCTGGGGAAACCAAGTGCCCGCGGCCGGGGAAGTGCGGGCCGCCGGCACCCACCGCGCCCGCGCCCGGGGCCTCGCCCGAGGAGCAGCGGCGCCCTCCCGGGGGACGCGAGCTACTGGCGCGGCTGCGGCGGCTCCCGGAGAGTGCGCGGGCGGCTCCACCCGGCTTTCCCTTCGTCCGCCCTCCTCGCCACCGAGAGCGCTTCCCTGGCGGCGGCCGGAGCCGAATCGGCCTGCGCTGGGGCCGCCCGGGAGCGGCCGGGGCGCCGCTCCAGGGGCTCAGGGGCTGTCGGCCGCCCGCCCGGCCGCCGCCGAGGACGCCCGCGGGCTCCCCGCCGCCACTGCGCCCCACGCGCTTCCGCGCTGCGAGCCTAGGCGAAGCCGCGGCCGGGCCGCCGCCGGGGGCAGGCTCCTCCCTGGCTCGGCCTGGGGGCCCGGGGCACCCCCGGCGGCCGCCCCCAGCCCGTGCGGGCGCTGCGCGCGCGCGCCGCGCCGGCCTTCGCCAGCCCCCAAATAGCGACGAAACCAATTTTCTGTTGGTAACGTGGAAGAAGGGCCGGAATGAGGAGAACAGGAGGAAAACGGGGGTGGGGGGCGAGAGAGGCGAGGGGGACTGCAGGTGGCTGGACTGGCGGGGGTCCTCCTTTCGTTTTCTGTTTTCCGATGTTAGGGAGGAGCCGCTTTGCTAGCGCGCCCCGGGGCGGCGGGGCGGCGGCTGCTGGCAACTAAGGCCAAAGGCTCTGCAGCAGGCATTTTTGGGTGTGAAGCGGCAGCCCCAGGGGGCCTGCGGGGTGTGGGGCCGCCAGGAGGGGCAGCCGAATGGTGGGGAGGGGGTCCTGGGGCAGGTACCGGTGGGCAATATTGTCAGCACCCTCACTCCAGTGTGGGGTTGTCTTGGGGCCTGACACTCTGGGGAGGCAGGGGTTAATGCTGCTGGACAGGTGTGGGGACCCGGGCAGGGCTGGGATAGCTCCTTCACATGAGCTGGGCAAGACAGGGAGACACCCCCCCCCCCCACGTACACACACACACACACACACACATATGCACACCCAACACCAGCATGAAAACCAGCCCATTCTCCACCCAGAGCACAAGGCACGTGGGGAATGTTCCCCCTCCGAATTCCAGTCGGCATCAATCACCCCCGAGACCCATTCCAAGAACATCTGGCCCAGCTCCCCCCACCCACCGCCGCCCCCTTCCCCCTGCCCCAGCTCTGCCGGCTCCCCCTGACTCCCTGGCTTTCTGGCCCTCCCGCCCGCCTGGGGTGAGCCTGGAGCAGGGGAGGGAGCCTGGGCCCTTGCCCACCCCAAGGGGGACCTGTAGATGTGGGGTGGGGAGCGGGGAAGAGGCGCCCGCCTGCCTGTGGCCCAGACCCCAGCCCCAGCCCCTCTCCCTCCCGCCCAGGGTCCCTGAGCTGGCTGCTGGACAGAGGCCCCCCTGCCCCGGGCACTATCCCACCTTCCCCAAGCCCCACGTGGACGGCGCGTTGGGCCAAGACCCCTGTTTCAGGGCCTTGGTGGGGTTTTCTCCGGTTGGGAGCCGTCTGGGGACCCTGCCGCTGCTTTCTGCCCAGCCCTGCCATGCGCCTGGACAGAGCAAGGTAGGAAGATGGCTGAGGTCACCTTGGAGTGCCCACAGCCCAGCCTCCAGGGCACTGCTGGGCCCCTGCCAGGGCGGGCCAGCGGGTGGGGGGCGCGCAGGCGGTGCCGCCTGTTGGGCCCTGGCCTTATTTAGTCACAAGTGCGGCTGGAGGGGCTGGCGGGAGGCTGGGGCGGTTCCGGGTCACCCTAAGGCTCAAAAAGCCCCTCGGCCAGGCCGCGCCCCCAGCCAAGGACGAGCTGGCTGGGCTCTCCCCCACTGCCTGACCTTCCCCCTACTTCCGGCCCCCCGAGGTGGTCAGGGTTCTCCCCAAAGCCCCGGGATGTGGAGGGGCTGGGGTCTCCCGGGGAGCTGGGGCTGCGCACCAGGAATTTCAGCTCCCAGCGAAGGCAACTTGGGAGGCCTGCCCCAGCCCTGTGCAGCCCCCAAGCCCGGCCAGAAGGTGCCTGGGAGCCCGACCGCCCTCGCCGAGCCCGGCCCGCACCCCGGGCCCACAGCCGCAGCCGGCTGCCCTGCCCTGCCCGGTGGTGGGGCCTTCTCGTCCCCGCATTTCCAACCCCAGCAGCGCAGCCTCGGAGTTGGCCGCTCCCCCGCCCCCTGGGGCCCAGCCCAGCATTGTGCAAACCCTGCTCCGACCTCCTCCGAGGGTCCCCTCGTGCCTCTCATGCGCCCCTCGCGGGGCGCCGGCCTCAGGGGCGCACGCGGGCTCCGCGTGGCGGGAGGGACGTGCCCCTGGGACTTCCCCGCACCGACGGCCTGAATCGGAACCACCAAGGCGCTGCAGCAGGAGCCTCCCAGGGCCGATCAATAAAACAGAAAGCCAAGTAGGTACGGGCTGGGGTGGGGGCGCCAGGGGAGGGCAGGACCCAGGCTGGGCTCCCTGGGGTTTCAGTTTCACCATGTGTCTGAACTAAAGCCACTTGGGGAAGAACATGTGTGGTTTCTGTTGGGTGGGCACAGCAGCCTGGACGGGGACACCTGCCTCCGACAGGCTCCACGGGAGGCCTGGCGTGGGGTCCCTGTCCCTGGCGGGTCAGGCCCCAGGACTCAGGCCCACACCCCCTGAACCCTGCTGCCCAGTACCCAGAGCCTCCGCTCCCCCAACCCAGTGTCTGTCCAGTGCACCTGCCCAGCCACGCGGGTCCATGGCAGCTGTGGCCCAGGCCCTTCCAGCTGCCCCCACCCCACGCACTGACCCACAGGAGACCCCAAGGCTTCCAGAACACGGCGGAAGTGTGACTGCAGCCTCACCCTTTCCACTTACACAGAGGGGCCAGGCCACTGGCCTGAGGCCCCACAGCCCTGCAGCCTGGCAGGGTGGCCCCGGCCTCACACTCCCAGCTGAGCCCAGCTCCCCTGGGCGCTCGGATTCCAGCCCAGCTGGGGGGGCTCTTCCCCTCCCCCTGCTGCCGTCCTCCTCCCTCAGCGTCCATCTCCATGCCAGGCTGCTCGCGCCCTGACAGCTTGGCTCTTGTTCCTCTCCCAGGAGCCCCCCTCTGAGGACCTGGGACACCGCAGAGGCGACGTGGAACCCGCCGTGCCCACCCCAGAGCCCCCGGGGAAGAGACACAGGAGCACCCTGCTAAGGACGCCAACGCCGACCCCGGGACTGAATTTGCCCCCAGTCTCTCAGTCTGGGCTGGCCCCTTGTTAAATGGGGGAGCCCAAATTGTGTGGGCCAAAGACCCCTGCATGCCTCCTGGTTTGCTGTGGACACCTGTGCCCTGCCAGACGGGACACGCTTACCTCTTGAGGGCTGGGACGGGGGCTGGCTGCCGGCTTCAGTTCTGGGAGTGGGGACGCCTGGGCCACAGGCCACAGCAGCTCACCTCAGGGCTGGGCTCTCGGGTGGCCCTGGCCTGCGGGGTCTCCAGTGGGGGCACTGGCTGGACTGGGGGCTGAGCGGGGGGAGATGCCGGGCCTTGGGGCTCCGGGCTGGAATCCGCCTCCTCACGCACAAGCTCAGCTGTGACTATTCGGCCCCTAGGGAAAACACAAAGGTGCCTCTGAGATGACCACACTCGCACAGCCCCAGGGCTCGCTCCCGACTGCTCAGTGGGGGAGGGGGCCACGGGTCACCTTGCCAGGGCTCGGGCCCCCTCTTGCTCCTGCTGCTGCCTGGCTGCCCCTTTCCAAATGACACAGGAGGGACAGAAGGTTCAGAAGCCCTTGTGGGGCCAGATTTCCTGGCAGCCATGTCTGGGAAGGTGCCAGTGCCAAGACCCCTGCCTACTTGGGGGGTGGGCTTCTGCCAAGAGCACTGGGCCAGGGCCCCACACACAGGGCCTGCTGGGAGGGACCATGGCCCTAGGCAGCAAAGTCTCCGTCTCCGCACCACAGCCATCCACCCTTGGACGGGAGCGAGGAGGGCCTGGCAGAAATAAGGGACAGCTGAGGGTGGGGGTGGCTGGGCCTCCCGGGGACCTGAGCCCCCTCCCCACTGCACCGTGTAGGACACAGTGGGGGGGGGTCCAAGCCTGCAGGGTAGCACCGGGCACACATGAATACACTCCCCAGGGAGCAGCGGCGGAACACGGGGTGGGGGGCACCGTGGCAATGGGCAGTGTTACGTTTCAGATGGTTTATAAGACACATAAAAAAACCCACCAATACCAACCTGCTCTAGAAAGCCTGGGCTCCAGCCCGGCTGCACAGCCTCCTGTTTGTCTTTGGGACTTGGTGGGTGGGGTGCAGCAAGGGGAAACTTGACACACAGAAAAACCCTTCCTCTCACATTCCCCAAGACAGCCGAGGGGCTCCCCCTCAGGAAGGCAGGGCAGCCCCCACCCCTCCCCATCTGCCTGGTGGCTCCTCTGGCTGGGCACAGCCCCCTCCCTCCAAATGAGGACCCCCGTTGCTCCCCACTCATTTTCTCCACCATGCCTGGGTCTCCTGCAGCAGGGGTTCTTCCCTTCTCTCCGGGACCAGGACCCTGGCAGTTGCCCCAGCCCCACCGTGGGTAGGCACACAAGTCTCACACACATGGGGGTGCCCAGGAAGGTGAGCCCCTCACCTGTACTCTAGTCGCTGCGTAGTTCCCGCAGCTCCTGGGCGGTGGATGAAGAGGACCGGGGAGTCGCTGGTGCCCAAGACTCTCTGCCGAAACTGCCCAGACGATGACCCGCCGGCTGGGCCAGTGTTAGCAGGCGCCTCCAAAGCAGGGGGTACTCTGGCCGCAGTGCCTGGACCCTCCAGCTGGGCTGGCGCCGAGGAGGAGGCGGCAGGGGACGAGGCTGAGGCTGGAGAGATGAGGAAGGGGATTTTGAGCGAGTGCATGATCAGGGGGCCCGGTCAGTGGGACGGCCTGTCTGCCACCTGGCTCAGCAACTACTCGGATGCCAGCCGAAGTGACGGTTTTGTCCCCTCACCTCCTCGTCCCCTCCATGCCTGTCCCCGGGCCCCTCCAAATTTGGGGAACTCCGCACCAACTTAGGAGTGCTGGGACAGCTGGCTGTGGCCCTACCCTACACCAGGGCACTGTGCCCTAGGGGGTGGAGGCTGGGCCCACCCCTCACCCACCAGAAAGGCATGTGTGGGTGTGGGCACCAACCGGAAACACTGTGTTAGATAGGAGGAGGGGACTCTGTGGGGGGGTGGGGGGTGGGGCCTCACAGAGTGGCACGTGACAGTCACTTGATACCCTGGAATGTCTGTGGGCGTGGCACTGGTAAAATGGGGGCGGGACTAAGCAGAAAAAAAGCCGGGTTCGAGAATAAGCAGAAAAAAAATCACTTTTTGTGTGCTGCCAGTGCAATGGTGGCACAGAACCGTTATGGCTGCCCATTCTGCACAGCAGAGTGCCCAGCAGGGAACCAGCAAGCTTGCCAGCCACGTCCAACCTGGCCCCCTGCAGTCCACATGGTGCAAGGTGCCCAGATGCTGGGCAAGTGGGCATGCACCAGCACTCCCGGGTAGGAAGACAGTTGGGTTCACAGCCTTTCAGGAATGACTGGGCTGCCATGAGACATGCACACAGGGCTGTCAGTGGCCAGGGAGGGCTCAGACCAAACACCACCCAATGGGACTGAATCCCCTCCCCCCAGGAAGTGGAAGCCTCTTCCCCTAGCCTGCAGGGAGAGCAAGGGGGGAGAGCAAAGACATAGGCAGCTCCCAGAGAGCCAGCACCCCCTGCACCCCATCACCCCAGTATCCCCTGCACCCCAGCAACCCTGCACCCCATCACCTCAGTACCCCCAGCACCCCTACACCTCTGCACCCCAGCACACCATGCATCCCTGCACCCCTGCACCCCTAACCCTGCATCCCTGCACCCCTACACCCCAGGACCCTTGCACCCCAGTACCCCTGCACCCCACCACCCCGTGCGTGTGCCTGGCCCAGCTTACCAGCCTGGGCTGGGATTCCACTGTCCCTTTTGTTATTCAAGCCCCTGCTTAGACTCCCATTCTTAACTAGAGGGATTGATGGCCACCAGGTAGAACAGGGGACAGACTTGAGGGAGACCCCAATCAGGCCAAAGGGGCAGGTGTCCCAGACAGGACTCAGGGGACATGGAGCCATCCCCTTGCACAAGGGCAGGTGGGAGTCCCACACTGGGCTTCTGGAGGAGTGGACTGCAGGGACATGAAGACCAGCGTCAGGCCTGGGGCATGGGGAGGAGAGTGAGGGTGCAGCAGGTGCAGACCCCTAGTGGCCATTGCAAGATGCCCAGTAACAAGGAGCCGCTGCACTGTCCCCTTGGGGGACAACTTGGCCAGGGAGGGGGAGGGATGGCCCCAGGCCCCAGATGCAGGAAGCAGGGAGCTATGGGTATGCAGGGGAAGCTGCCCACTTCCCCCAGAGCAAACTTTTGCAGATACGGGGCCTCCCACCCCCAAACTTGTAGCTTGAACACCAGCTCCACCCTGGACTGGACTCGCATCTCCACTTCATTCTGTCAGGAACTTGGGACCCTGCGTGCTTGTGCCTGGGGCTGGGAGACTTTTTGTTTTATTTTTTCTGCCATGGGCCATTTGGATATTTGTAGCGTCATGCTTAGGCCATACAAAATTATCAACTTAAAAATTAGTCCTGGGGGCTGGTGTGGTGGCATAGCGCTTGTCCACTCCTAACCCTGCTCCCTGCTAGCACCCCTGGGAAAGCAGTGAACAATGGGCCAAGTGCTTGGACCCCTGCACCCATGTGGGAGTTCCAGGCTCCTGGCTTTGATCTGGCCACTGTGCCCATTTATGGAGTGATCCAGCAGGTGGAAGATCTCTCTATATCTCTCCCTCTCTCTGTAACTCTTCCTTTCAAATAAATAAATATTTAAAACAAAATACTAGCTTCTGTGGATTTATGGACTCCCAAGCCCCACCTGTGGCCATCCTGGTAGGTTCAGACCCAGAGATTCTGTGGGACTTATGCAGCCCGTGGCTCACATCCTCCACCTTGGCTGAAGCCACGGAGCCACTGGGGCAGGACCTGGGGTGTGTGGGCTGTGGCCCCCACAAGGCATTCTGGGGATTTTCCACGGGGTGGGGGCAAGTGGCCTACAGGAAACACACGTGGGAGGCACAGAAACTGGGGTGCACCAGCACCAGTGAGGGACACCACACAGCAGAACCCCATCTGTGTGGATTTGCACCAACGCAGCACAGAACTGAGCGCTCCAGGAATCCCCAGGACCAAGCCTGCCTCTTGCTCGCTGGAGCAGCCGCGTGCTGACACCTGGTGGCAAAATCTGGAATTACAGCAGGTGCACTGGAGCTGCAATTGGAGGGGCCCTGAGGGTGGGGGATACAGGTGGATTGTGCGCCCTCGCGCTTGGCTCTGTCCTGGCATTTCAGATCTACCAGGTGGGCACTGAGGGAACCCCTCCCCCTCTGTGTGTCTTCCTGTCCCAGGGGCCTGGGGTGGGGGGTACCCCCAAACCACAGCTGCTTTCCTGAAGCCGCTACCTTCCCCCCAGGGAGGGAGCTGTATTCTGTTTGGTGTCCTGCGAGACCAGGGGGCAGAACGTGAGGGTCTCCGGGCAGAGGCGGGGTCCCCAAGACCCCTGCGCTGTGGGCGCAACCTGGTTCGCGGGCAGGTTCCCAGCCCCGCCCTGCCAACGCGGATTTGCAAACCTGGCCCGAGCCTGACACCTGGTGGCCACTTGTGGGAAGTGCAGCCACAGACTGCAGGTGCACCTGGATTCTCTGTCACTACCCCCCCACCCCGCTTTGGGGTCCCTCTGGGGTCAGCCAAGGCTAGACACCGAGACGTAGGGGGCAGCCCCGCGTGAAACCGTCCTGCAACCGCTCAGCTGCGGGCTCCGGAACATTCTCTTCTCATGTACCCCCGATGGCTACTTAATCGGCACCCCCGTGGGGGCTCTGAAGTTTCCAGAGGGCACGTGGCCTGTGGGCAGGGATGAGACCTCAGGGCAGAGGCCTGGGCTACAGGGCCGGGGCTTCTGGAGGCTCGGGGACAGGGGGCCGCCCCCACTTGCCCCTCGCCTTGCTGTCCACTCCAGAGCACCTGTGGCCGGCTGACCTCATCCTCCTCCATCCGCGCCAGGAGGCCCCTGTGCTCAGGCCCCGGGCTGTGCTCCCCCCTTAGGTACCCGAGGGCCACACCCACGGGAGGTGCACCTGCTGCCTCCTGCCTGCGAGGCCTGAATGAGCAGCACCAGGCGCAGGACCCTGTCCCCAGGAGATGAACTCCCCAGGGAGTGGCAGATGCAGACAGCCGAAGGCGCAAG